GTACGTACGTACGTATGTAGTATGTATGTATGTATGTATGTATATATATATATATATATATATATATATATATATATGCGTGTATGTGTGTGTATGTATATGTGTGTATATGTGTATGTGTGTATGTGTGTATGTGTGTATGTGTGTATGTGTGTATGTGATATGTGTATGTGTATGTGTATGTGTATGTGTATGGGTATGTGTATGGGTATGTGTATGGGTATGTGTATGTGATGTGTGTATGTGTAGGTGTATGTGTATGTGTATGTGTATGTGTACGTGTACGTGTACGTGTAGGTGTAGGTGTAGGCGTATGTGTATGTGTATGTGTATGTGTATGTGTATGTGTATGTGTATGTGTATGTGTATGTGTATTTGTATGTGTATGTGTATGTGTATGTGTATGTGTGTATTTATGTGTGTGTGTCTCCGTATGGGATGGGACGATTGTTGGCTCTCGGGCCCTGTCGAGGGTCCTCTTGGAGCGCTTTCGGGGTGTCTTGGGAGCCTCTTGGGATGCCTGGAGGCCATCTTGGGACGTGTTGGGGCCATCCGGGGGCGACGTGGAGGCCATGTCGGCTGTCTTGAGACCATCTTGGGCTGTCGAAGGGCCGCCCCTCCCCCGAAAACCCCCGCGACACCCCTCTGCCGCCCTCTGGCTGGACCCCCGCCCCTCCTCCAAACTGGCCCGGCCGGGGCTTTCCAGGGAGGCTTGGGGATGGGCTGTCCCGCGCGCCGAGGAAATCCCGAGGGGTCGGCGAATTCTGGGCTCCGAGATGCCGCGCGCGAGGTGGTCCTGTCCGTTTCGCCTGGGGCATTCTGACACAGTGTATATGCATGACGCAGACGTGCGCCACTCGCTGCCGTTTGACCCTCAAGGGCCCTTTTTGCCAAGGCACAAAAAGCATCATGCATCACACTGGCAGCGGAGCCTGCTATACGGTCTTCGGCGACCGCGCCACTGCGCAGGACTCGTCTCTCCAGAGAGAGTTCCTTGCGACTGCTACACACTACTTGCTTGAACAGTCATCCTGACAAGAGGACTGTCGACTGTCTTTCGACTTGCTTGCACCATGGCGCTGCTTTCTCTTCGGTATCGACCAAATGCTGATTCGTTGACAAGATCAGAAACGAATAGTGGTTCTTACATCGATGACGGTGCTGTGAACAACTTCCATGATGGGAATTCCGCACAGGGGCGCGCATGAGTGCTGCCTTGGCCGCCGTTGACCCTGAAACGGGGGAGCCATTGCCACGCGTTGTCGCTGCAGCCGTCCGTACGGTGATAGAGGGCCTCACAGGCGACGCTTTCGATATAGCCATGGATATGCGTAAAGACACGCTTCGGATTTAAACATGCACCGAACTACTGATACAGACGATCCGTACTTCGCTCTTTCCCACAGAGGCTCAGGAAGCCAAGTGCCTCTTCCAAGTAGGACAGAGACCCTGCGGACCGATGTCCCGACACAACGGTGAGCCTAGGGTCGCGTACATATCGCGCGGAAAGCGCTGGTGGAAGCTAGTCTCTAAACTCGGCCCGAACCTCATGATGAGTGGCGACTTGCTTGGGTCTCTTCTCTTGGACCATGCAGGGCTCTCACCTTCGGAGAATTTGATGGTAGTGTCATCAACGGGTCGTGTGACCTGTCGTCAAGGTCAAGGACGTCTGGATCCGCCAACACGGTCGTATCCACATCACCAAAAAGGCAGAGGAGACTCGGGCAAGAGCTCCACCCTCACTCAGTGGACGCCCCGGAACCCTAGCAAGGGCAAGGGTAAGGCCAGGTACATCAGGCCGCCACAGGCATACCACGCTGCCGACGTCAGCTGGTACGAGCAGGAGGAGCACTACCCCCAGGAGCTAAATCCCTATGGTTATTACGCGGCCGGCTACACACCGGAGTATGGCCGGGACGGCGAGTCTTGGTGGACAGACACCCGTGCAGATGACCAGACCTGGGGCGACGGCGACCCTCGCGCTTACTGGACATCCGCACCGTGCGGTGATGAACTTGACGCCGGAGTAAGGGACGAAAGTGTCAATCACGGCTACACGGAATAAACCTTTTGAGATGATCCAGCCACGTGGATATGATTTGGCAGCCAACCTTGGCGCCGAAGGGAGAGGCAAGAGCAGAGACAAAGGGAAGAGTCACCCAAGGGCGGTCGAAAGGGAACGCTTTTCGTGGAAGAGCGTGAGGCTCGCCTCCAGAATATCAAGAAACGATCGCAGTGTAAGACCTGTGACGAGACTGGCCACTGGTCTGGGGGCCCTGAGGATAAGGGAAAGCCCCAAACGGCCATGATAGCGTATACTGGTGAGCGACCGCTCCAGTTGCGCGAGGACGGCGGCGACGATCATTTCGGAGGAGGAGGAGGAGGCGGAGGCAGAGGCGGAGGCGGAGGAGGCGGAGGAGGAGGAGGAGGAGGAGGATGAGGAGGAGGACGAGGGGGAGGAGGAAAAGGAGGAGGAGGAGGAGGAGGAGGAGGAGGAGGAGGAGGAGGAGGAGGAGGAGGAGGAGGGGAGGGTGTGGGGGAGGGGCAGGGGGAATGGGAGGAGGACGAGAGAGGAGGTGGGAGGAGGAGGCAGGAAGAGGAAGAGAAGGGGGTGGAGGATTGGGAGAGGGAGGGGGAGGGACGTGCTGGAACTTCAGAGCCGTCCCTCGTTTTTTGTGCTGGTCAGCGTCATCTAACCGACCTCGTCGTCCTAGCCTCTCGTCTTCGTCGTCCCGCGCTCCTGGCACCGCTGGCTGCTACAGCTTCTCCAGCTGCCGTTGCTACTCCTATTCGTTCTCTTGCTCTACCTCTTCGTCGTCGTGGTCGTCGTCGTCGCGGTAGCGTTGTCGTCGTCGTCGTCGTCGTCGTCGTTGTCGTCGTCGTCGTCGTCATCGTCATCTTTCTCTTCTGCATATTCTTTGTTTTCTTCCTTGCTTCCTTCGTGTTCGTCTTCGTCGTCGTGCTGCTTTTTCTTCCCACCCTTCCCCTCTGCCTTGCTGCTGCTGCTCCTCCTGGCTTTTGTCCTGCTCCACTCGTCCTTCTCCGCGCGTGCGCGCTCCCATCTCCTCTGTTCCCCGCATTCCTCCGCCTTTTTTCCGACGACGACGCTTCGGTTCAGATGACACCAGCCCAGGCCTGGTGGACAACATGTCATCCCCAGACCTCTGGCGTCGCGACTTTCTCACGATGCGGGCCCGGGAACTCTCGACCCCACCCCCGCGGCGGATACTTCGCCGCGGGCCCACATTTGAGGACCCCAATGGGGAAGCCAGAAAAGGTGCCGATACCGCTACTCCCTGGACCTCTCCCAGGAGGCGCTCTGCCCAGAGCTTCCTGGCGGATCTGGCCGTGATGACGAGGGCCTCCCAGGAGGCTTCAACAGGCGAAAACGAGGGCAGGGCAGCGGTATCTTTGCCCTTTTCCTGGTTCGATACGCATGATACGCACTGCTATGATACGGCCAGGCCAGTGCTATGCTACGCATGGGTTCGTCGACTCTATCGTTCGGCGTCCCCTCCGATACACTGTCTCACGCTCTGTAGCGCAGCTTCGCTGTCGTGCCTTTCAGTCAAGAGGTAGAGGTGAACGGTTGTTTTGCGGTGGAGGAGGAGGAGGAGGGAGGAGGAGGAGGGAGGAGGAGGAAGGAGGAGGAGGAGGGAGGAGAGGAGGAGGATGAGGGATGAGGGATGAGGGGGGAGGGAGGGGGAGGAGGGAGGAGGGAGGGAGGAGGGAGGGAGGGAGGGAGGGAGGGAGGAGGAGGAGGAGGAGGAGGAAGAGGAGGAGGAGGAGGAGGAGGAGGAGGAGGAGGAGGAGGAGGAGGAGGAGGAGGAGGAGGAGGAGGAGGAGGAGGAGGAGGAGGAGGGAGGAGGAGGAGGAGGAGGAGGAGAGGAGGAGGAGGAGGAGGGAGGAGGAGGAGGAGGAGGAGGAGGAGGAGGAGGAGGAGGAGGAGGAGGGGGGCCTCCCCACCCCCTCTGGGTCTGCGCAGGCCTCCAGAGGCTTCCAAGAGGCCCGAAAAGTGTTCCCAGATGGTCCAGAAGCCTCTGCCTCCCCGAGCCTCGGTGCGGGCAATACTTATGTCCATATCCAATGCGTCTTGAACTTTCTTGGAAGAGGCGCCGCAAGGCCGAGGCGCACTGGATATGGATAAGAATCGAGCCTTTTGGGGCCAGATTTTTATCCATATCCAGTGCGCTTCATATTTCTGGGGAAGAGAGCCCGAAACTCCAAGATGCACTGGATGTGGATATAGACATTGCCCGCACTCGGTGCACTGCCGATCTGAGCCACTTTTGCAGGGCGGCGCGTTTTGGACTCTCTGTCTTCCTCTGGGCCACAAGCACGTTCGCGGCATCTCCGCGCGCGCGTTGTGGAGCGCGTGAGCAATGCAGCAGGAGGCCAAGACTACGAGATATACATACACTTTTGGAGCTCCGCGCCGACCCAAGAAGTCCGCGCGGACCTTCGAAAGTTTATGCTTACGTCTCTGCTGTTCGCCCATTGTCGCACACGCCTGCAGGTCTGGGGTCGTCCGCCGCACTGAAGCCTCCGGACCGATGAGGCCGGCGCGCCGCCGGCCGCTGGCCACCTCCCTTTGGCTGCCGCGCGCCGTCGCGGCGCTCTGCTGCGCGCTGCCGTTGGTGGGCGGCTCTCGGGTCGGCTCGGCGGCCAGCCCGAGAGGTCCAGGCTGGAGGGCTGCCGGCGGGGTGACGGGCGCGCGCGCCCGCGAGCCAACCGCGCAGGCCGCCGGGCTACTGGCCGGGGGCTGCCGGAAGCGCAGCGCTCGCTCGCCGTCGTCGCCACCGCCGTCGCTGCCGTCGTGGGGTGGGGCGGGGTGGGGCGGGGTGGGGAAGAGATGTCGGCGGCGCGCCCCGGGGGGGGGGGGAAGGCAGAGGGGGGACGAGCGCGTGGAGGGCGGAGGAGTGGGGGGCGAGTGACTCTCACCGAGCGCGTTCCGCTGCTCGCAAAGTGCCTCTACTCGCAGACGCCCGATGAGCAAGCGCCTGCCTCCATGCAGTGTATCGCAGATCCCCCTCGGCGGATCCGGGCCATTTGCGAGCAGTTATTTTGCGAGTAGTGGAGCGCGCCTGCTTAGACTCAGGCCACCGCTGGGCTGGGCGGTGAGGTGCGGAGCCCCATCGGCGGCTCGCTCATTGCCAGGCAGAGGGACGAGCCAGATCATGAGGGGCACGTGGGCCACGAAGGCGCGCATCAAGGCGGCCTTCGGGAACACGGCGAGCTCGGTTCTCATGCTGGCGGCCAGGACGAGCACCAGTCTGGCGACGAGCTGGACTCCAGAGTGGACCACGACGGTCATGGGCAGGATCATGACGCCGCCGCGCATCGTGACGATGAGTCAGATTCTGGAGCGGAGCCCCATGACCATGGACACCGCGACTCCCATGGGGTTCACGGTCATGGTGCCACCGCGCAGCGGGACGGTGAATTAGATTCTGGAGCGGCTCCCAACGACCACGGCGAGCACGATTCCCACTGGATGCACAGCAATGCTTCGAGCACGAATCACGAGGATAAGACATATTCTATGGGAAAACCCAGTGACCAAGCAGGGCGCGACTCCCGTGAGGTGCACGGTCATGATGCCGCCGCGCATCATGGCGCTGACGAGGAGCATGGCCATGCACGTAATGGTCGCGGTGCAAGTTCGGTTGCCGTTGGGCTTGTGACAACATCAGTCATGATACTAAGCGCTTCGCGACAAAGCGGCTGGTCGACCAATTCTTGGAGGTTGCGTGTGCGGGAGCCTTTCCGAAGCCGCCAGCAGTCAGGAAATCGTATGTCGTGTTCGTGCCATGCAAGACGTACTTGCGCAGCTGTGCGCGAATTCCCCAGGCCGTTAGGGTGGATGGCCGGGAAAGGGTCTGCTTGCTCCTGCTCCTGGCCGTTGGGACCTGATTGGTGCCCCGGTGATGCCCCGATGCTGCTTCTATGGTGTCTCGATGGCGTCCCGATTGTTTTGCGATGGCGTCCCGATGGTGTCCCAACCGATTTTCGATGGCTTCCTGGCGGTTTCACGATGGTTTTCCGATTGGTCTTCGATGGTATTCCGATTGTGCTCCAACGAGTTTTCTGCTGTGTCCCGACGGTAGTCCGATTGATTTTCGATGGTGTCACGATGATGCCTCGATGGTGCCTCGATCATTTTCGATGATGGCCCGATGGTGTCCCGACGGATTTTCTGCGGTGTACCAACGGTGTCCCGAGTGATTTTCGATGGTGTCCTGATGGTATTTCGATTGATTTTCGATGTTGTCCCAGCGGTTTGCTTCGCTCCGTCGACGAAGGACCAGGCGAATGTGCGCCAGGCGGATGCGACTCCATTCTTCCTGGGGCCACTTGACTGCGCAATAAAACCGTGGGCTTCCACTAGAGCCCGAAGCCGCCCTGCCCCCCCCAGGCGGGAAGTTGGAGTTGTTGACTGCGTCTTGCGTGCCGTGCGTGTCGTGCGCGCACACCTCTCAGCGAGTAGCCCTGGTCGTTGGGCTGCACGGCGGGGAAGTGCCCTGCAGCGGCGGGCGGGACCTGTGGGTCGTTCTCGCGTCTCCCTGGGGGGGTGCCACCTTCTCCTCCCGTCGAGGCCGCGCGCGCGGCATCGGGGCACTCCTTGGCATCAGCGGTGGTGCACCGGACCCGCAGAAAACACGATGATTTGCAGTGGGGTCCTCTCTTTCAGGCCACGCACGCTCGGAATCCAGGCACAGATTCGAGCTCCTCCCCCTCCTCAGCTGCCTGTCGTCTGCAGCGAACTCGGGCGAGCTGCCCTGGCTAACGGGCAGTAACGCGCAGTTCAGCGCACGGCGTACGGCGCTGGCGCTGTTACCCTACAAGAATAGATTCCTTCTCCTTCCTCCTCCTCCTCCTCCTCCTCCTGTCCCTTGTTACCCTGTTCCTTGGCGGGCTCGTCGCTGTCATCATTTTTGTGATCTTAGTCGTGAGAATGCATGCGCGCATGGGGGGTGGTGCATGCGATTCGGCGTTGCTCGGCGAAGCGCTCATGCGCGCTGCTGGTCTCTCAGTGTGTCATTTCGTATGCGGTGCTCCCATTGGCAGTCGCCTCGCGTTTAGAACGGACTGGGTGCGTCCCAGGTGCGTCCCGTGTGTGTGTGTGTGTGTGCCACGCGCCTGGCCCTGCTCTGAGCGGGCCCAGCTTCTCCCTCTTTCCCGCCGCCGGGCGCCTCCTCTTCCTCCTCCTCCTCCTCCTCCTCCTGCATGGTGGCCCAATTCGCGCTCCGTGCGCCCCACCGACGGCTCTTTTGCCAGCGCAGTGACTTTGCCTAGCCGTCGATGCAAAAAGTGTGTGTGTGTGTGTCTATGTGTGTGGTGTGTGCGTGTGTGTGTGTGTGTGTGTGTGTGTGTGTGTGTGTGCGCGCGTGAGCTGGTCCGGCAGCAGTTACAGTTTCTTTTTTCGCTTCACTGCCTGACTGACACTGTTGTGTCGGTGATCCAGGGGCCGCTAATTCGCACCAGACTGCTCGCGCTTCAGTTTACCTCGAGTTGAGCTTCTTCCTCGGTTCTCTGGCCGCTGCACGTTTCGCTTGGATTTGCAGTTCCTCTTTCACGCCACCCATTGCTGCACTTGACAGTGTACACTGTTTGTACACTGCGCCTTCGACAACGCTCGATCGCAATTTGCATCTATATCTGGTCTTCGCGCTTGAGGACACTTCTGCGCCGCCGACTTAGAAGTGTGTGTGTGTGTGTGTGTGTGTGTGTGTGTGTGTGCGCATCTATCGAAGACGCCTACGGCGAATCACCGCCGCCCCGTGCCCGTTCGGAAGTGCCTAGTGGCCGAAGGTTGTGGCCAGAGGCCTGCCAAGCATTTTGCCAGGGGAGGAGGAAGGGGAGGAGAGGGAGGAAGAAGGAGAAGGGAGGAGGAGGCCTCTTGTGAGGCTCTTGGGCTACTCCAGGGTTCTATTGGGCCATCTTGGCCGTCCACGAGGCCGTCGAGCGGGGCATCTTGGGTCGTCTTGGGGCCCTCTTGGGGCCGTCTTGGGGGCCTCTTGTGCCGTCACGGGGCCATCTTGGGGGGTTCTCGGGCGATCTTGGGGCAACCTTGGGCCGTCGAAAAGCCGAAAAGGCGCAAATGCCACACTGCTTCAACAACCTATGGGAAATCAATGATTTTGGCCTCTTCGGGCCTTCCTGGTGGACCTCTTGGAGGCTCTTGGGCCATCTCGGAGGCCTTAAGGCCGTCTTCGGTGCATCTTGGGCCGTCTTGGAGGCTTCTTGGGGCCATCTTAGCCGTCTTGGAGGCCATCTTTGCCGTCTTGGAGGCATCTTGGAGACCATCTTGGGCCATGTTGGCCGTCTTGGAGGCCATCTTGGGCTTCATGGGGGCCTCTTGGGCCGTCTTGGGTCCCTCTTGGGACCGTCTTGGGGGCCTCTTGGGCCGTCATGGGGCCACGTTGGAGGCCTCTTGGGCGATCTTGGGGCGACCTTGGGGGCCTCTTGGGCGTCTTGGGACGTCGGAAGGCCGAAAAGGCGCAAATGCCAAAATGCTTCAAAACTTATGGAAAATCAATGATTTTGGTGTCTTCGGGCCCTCCTGGAGGACCTCTTGGGGGCCTCTTGGGCCGTATCGGAGGCCTCTTGGGGGCCTCTGGGGCCGTCTTGGGCCATCTTGATGCCATCTTAGGCCGTCTTGGGTGCATCTTGGCTCGTCTTGGAGGCATCTTGGAGCCATCTTAGCCGTCTTGGAGGCCATCTTGGCCGTCTTGGATGCGTATTGGAGGCCATATTGGGCCGTCTTGGAGCCATCTGGAGAGACAAATCGTTGGCAACTGGGTCCGGGCAATTCTCCCGGGACCCCGGCGGGACGGGCCAAAGTCCCAGGGGGAGTTCTTTTGGAAGAACCAAAACCAAAACCGTAATAATCTAGCACGCCAGGCACCCCTGCGATGAATCGACAGGGGGCGGCGGATCTAACGACCTTCGGCCCATCCCGCCACCGTGCCTGGGCTCTGGTTCAGAGGCCTCTTGGATGCATGCTAGGGTCTTTTGGGATGCATCTCGGCGAACTTTTCGAAGAACCATGTGGGCTTCTGTTATGGGGGGGCCCTTGAGGGCCTCTTGGTGCGTCTTGGGGGCCTCTTGGGGCCCTCTTGAGGCGTCTTAGGGGGGCTTCGGGGGCCTCCAAGGGCCGTCTTGTTGCCCTCTTGGGATGTCTTGGGCCTCTCCTGGGGGCCTCCTGGGCACTCCTTGGGCGCTGGTGGAGGTTTCTTGGGCCGTCTTAGAGCGTTCAAGATCGAAAAATGCGAGAAGGCTAAGTTCCTGCAGAAAACCCTAGGGAACGCAGTCATTGTAGCCTATCAGGGCCCTCTTGGGGGTGCTCTTGGGTCTCTTGGAGCTTCTTGGGGACCTCCACGGCCGTGTTAATCCACCGTGAGGATCTTGGGGCGATCTTGAGGCGACTGGGGGCTCTCCTGGGCCGTCTTCGCGGCCTCCTTGGTCCATCCAGGCCTGTCTTGGGGCCCTCTTGGCTTTCAGAAGACGCAAGCGACACACCTCCAGGACATTCCCGGCCCCGCCCGAGGAGTGCCTGGGAAACCGGGTGTCCGGGCGTTTAAGAATTTAGAGGTCCTGGCTACAGCAGCACAGCTGTGAGCCTTGGGGCACTCCACTCCGTGCCATGGGCACGCTGGCGGACAAGTACTGTCGCTCTGGAGCTTCATCTGTCCTTTCATCGTACCGCAGCTCGCTGTGGTTCAGGCTCTGATGGGCGACCAGGGCCACGGGCATCCCGCGCAACGTACGCAGGTCCCCTCGCGCTCGCCACGGCCGGTGCTGGCGCCGGGCGCCGGTCGCGGCACCTGGAGAGCGCCCCCCGGCCCACGGGTTGGGGGCCGCCTGGCCGTGGCCGGCCGCCCCGGAGCTGGTGCGCGCGGCGCAGGGCTCCAGCTTCGGTGCGGGCGCGTCCTCGCGTGCCCGCCCTACGAGTGCGTGTGCAAGGCGCCGGAGGCGGCGCCCTTCGAATTGTAGCGGTACTCGCCAGGAATGTGTAGGTGGATCGCCTGCGCCGTCGGATGGCCTTCCGCCCCCGGGTGCTGGTTCAGCCAGCTCTACGACCACATGGAGGCGCGTGCCCCCCACCTTCTCCCCCTTTTTCACTCCCGTCGACCCGTGCCTGGACCAGCACAGGTGGGGCGGGTTGTCGCCTTATTTCTCGACCACTTCCTCGTTGGAGGCGACTAGGGGGTCTGAGCTGTTTGTCCTGCTGGGCCATGGCTTCCCCTTGCTGGCTGGCCTCCTGGCTGGCAGGTACCGCCTCGGCTGTCTGTGCAGGCGGCGGGCGACGCGGCAATAGGCCTGGGCGCAATTTCATGACCAGGACGACGACTACTTGCAAGCTGGTCCCTGTGTGGCCGTCTCCCACGCGAGTCAGGGCCCCTCGTTATCCTCGACGCCCCGTGGCTTTGTTGTGGTCTGGGAGCCCTGGCGCGGTGTACCTCGCTTTCCAGCTGACCGCCCTGCTTGTGACTGATGGGCGCTGCTGTGGCGGGCTCTCGTTGTCTGGACATAGCGGAGCCGCAGATCGGAGCCTACTACCCAGACGATGCCAACGTGAACTGGCACGCGAGAATCCTCTTGAGCGTCTGGACGACCGTGGGCGGTGGGTGGCAGCTACGCCCGACGGAGACAGCCAAGTGATCGACTTGGCCGAGCATCGGATCTTCCTGATC